CTGCTGTGACAAGTAAACTGGGACAACCTTCAAACCACCAATAAAGGTGTCATCAATGGCCTCTAAAACATGAACACCTTTGACCCCAACATTGCCTTCCCAAGAACTCATTTTCTATGGACGTCATCAATATCTAGACAAAGCTTTACACATAGACATTCACTGAAACAATTCCTTTGAGGGGCACTGGATGGCTCAGTCACTTAAGTGTCTGCCTTCAGCTCAGGTCGTGATCTCAGGATCCTGGGATGGAGCCCCACATGATGCAGGCTCCCTGCTCAGCGGGAAGTGTGCTTCTGCCTCTGCCCCTCCCCACTCATGCTCTTTCAAACTCTCTCTCAAATAAATAAGCAATTTTTTTTTAATTTCAAAAAAAAAAACTAATTCATTTGAAAATTCAAATTCAATTAAAAATAATTAGCAACAAGTGAAATTTAAAACAGAATCACAACGAGGTAAAAATCAGTGAATCCATAGAATAAAATATTATGCAGCCATTTTTTGAGTAGGTAGGGAATTGGAGAGACATCATGTATAATATTAAATGAGAAACACAGGATGGGGCACCTGGGTGGCTCAGGGGGTTAAGCATCTGCCTTCAGCTCAGGTCATGATCCCAGGTTCTGGGACAGAGCCCCATGTTGTAGGGCTCCCTGCTCAGCAGGAGTCTGCTTCTCTTTCCCCCTCTGCTGCTCTTCCTGCTTGTGCTCTCTCTCTCTCAAATAAATGAATAAAAACTTTTTTAAAATATTTTATTTATTTATTTGACAGAGATCACAAGTAGGCAGAGAGGCAGGCAGAAAGAGAGGAGGAAGCAGGCTCCCCACTGAGCAGAGAGCCGGATGAGGGGCTCAATCCCAGGACCCTCAGATCATGACCTGAGCTGATGGCAGAGGCTTTAACCCACTGAGCCACCCAGGCACCCCAAAATCTTAAAAATAAAGAAAGAGAGGAAAGAAAGAAGGAAGGAAGGAAGGATGGAAGGAAAGGAGGGAGGGAGGGAGGAGGGGAGAAGGGGAGCAAGAGAGGGAGGAAGGAAGAAAGGAAAACACTGGATATAAAATTATATTTGCATTATGATCGTATCCAAGCCAAAAAAAAAAAAAAGAGAGAGAGAGAGAAAACCAAAAGGAGTCACAAGATCAAAGGGTGACTGTCTCCCCTTTAAATATTTAAATCTTGGGGAGAATTTTCCAAAAGGGCCAAGAGTAGTGTATTTTAACCAAAGGGAAATAGAAAAAGAAGGCCTGTCTGCATAACTCCCAGTCAATGGCAACAAATTCATGAATCTGAGGTGTCACTCTGGGCTTTTATAAATGTACAATGAACCCATCTTTGCAAACCCACCACCACCTCCAGAATAACAACCTTATAGGATGTGTGGTCTACATTTATTGGACAATTCAGCTGACATTTTAAGTCCAGCCTACTGGACACCATGGGGAAGAAATCCAGAAAGAAACGGTACAAAGGATAAGAGATATGCCACTTTGCCATTTGCAAAGACCTTTCAGAGACAGCAGCTCATCTGATGCTCACTGGCAGTCGGTAAGGCAGACAACGACAGGAGCTGGCACACACCCATTTTACAGTTGGGAAAATAGAGTCATAGATAGTCACACTCCCCGAAGTGGCAGGGGCTCTCCCTGACTTCCAGGCCAGGGCTGTCTTAGAACGTGAGGCTCTTTCCCTATATCGTGCCATTAGCCTATTTGTTGGTGCTTCTTTATAAGTATCTTCATAGAAAGAGACATTTCTCACTAGCAAGAAAACCAAAACGACTTACTAATAATAAAAATAGGCTTCAGAAGTGAACAGACCTGATTCAAGGTCAAAATCCAACTTGAACGTTTGAGGGACTCTTTCAAGTTAAGTTCTCAGATACCTGATTTTCTCATCTATAAATATAGGAATAAAACCACACAGCTGACAGGGTGCTAAAGAATTAAATGATCTGAGCACTTGGACCAGAGCCTGCCCCAAGACGGGTAAACAAACACAGTAGTCCTTCCTCCAGAAAGAGTGAAATGTCTACAATGAACCAACTCCAGATTCTAATTTTAGTCCTTGTTGGAACACCAGACTCCTTAGTCTACCTGCTATCAGGAGCCCACCAAATCTTTACCAGTTACTGTAGGGCCCTAAAATAATTAGAAACCACTCAACATAGTAGTTTCAACCAATGACAGTTTAAATCATTTTTTGTCAGTTTTAAATAATTTCTCTTTTGTCTTAACATGTAAGTAAACTTCAGCATCAGAGCCAAATTCTTTAAAAAGTAACAATGAAATGTTTGTTTCTATTGCCTGAGGCTTTGGCCTATCTCCTTTGAATGCAACTACTGAAACTCCCAAATCATCTGTTTGATTAATTTCTTTTAGGAGGGCAAAAGTGGGAGCAGAGAATGACAGGCACTTCTCAAAGTTTTCATTTCCTCTTTAAATTAGATTTGGGTATGGACGCCTAAGCTCAAAACATTCCATCCACTGACTATGTTTATTATGTGACCACACAGCTTGGGTGCTACCTGGCCAAAGGAGAACCCAGAATTTAATAAAGCTTATTGTTAGCATCAGACAAGGAGTCAGGAGGCTGGCTGAAAGCCCACAATGCTCTAGGAGAGGGCCCTTCTCTCGTCACCAGCCCCGGAACCTTTTCCACCCACTCCTTTCCAGAAGGCCATGCCCATTGTCTAGTAAGAGAAACTAATAAGCCCAAGGATTGAGTAACCAGAGACCTTAAGGGCATAAATAAGCCAAGATGTGGAAAACCATCCCTTCTGGTGCCTGTGGCATACAGTTTCGAATGTTGCTTCTGAGAGACAGAAGTTTAATGAGATTCTTCTCGTAAGCAGGAAGAGAAAGAGACATTGTCACTACCCACTGTGAAGTTATCTTTCTTTTTCTCTGCTTCCCAACTTCTGCTAACCACATGCTTACAATTTTAGGATGTCCGATGGTCCCTATCTTAGAATCTCAACAAGACTGCTGAGGTTGATTTCCGTTCTATTTTCTCTCTGGGGAGAAGTGGGGTACAGTAGAGAGAATGAACTTTGGAATCAGGCAGGCTAGGTTATCGGAGATACATATAAAGATACACACACACACACACACACACACACACACACCTCCTCCTGGTTCTGCTTCTCTGACTGAAGGACTGATACATGGGCGGTGGGACTTTGACTGCTGTGGGCCTCAGTTGCCTCCCAGTAAGTAAGAACTTCACAGGGCTCTGAGAAGTAAGTGTACGGAAAGCATATGAATCGCCCGGCTCAGCCAAGCACTCAACACTGCTGCCTATCTCCCTCCCTCTCCCTGCTTTCCTAAAACATTCCCTATAAACATTAGTACCGTCAGAGATTCCAAGAGGACCAGATGTTAGCTGGTCAGGACATCTTTTCTTCATACAAGCCTCAAGTCCCACGGGCACCTTTGTACTCAGTACTCTTTTTAGATACTTAGTTCTTCTTCAGTGGTCAACTTTCATCAAAAAACACTGCTCTGCAATTCAGTGGGAACTTTTCTCGTCACACTCCAGACTTGAGGGCAGAACATCGCTCAGAGATCCATGGAAACACAAACCTACCCCAGGAATGGCCATCCCTCGCTGATAGTGGATTACCTGCATCCAATGCTGATTTTTTTTTTTCCTAACAATTTTACTCCCAGGTTAAGCTATTCAAATTCTGGGGCAACTAAGTATGGTCTACAGCCCCGAGTCCAATTTGAACCTGAAGACGCACCTACTTGTCTCAGCAATGACACACGGAGGGGAAAACCAAAATCTCCCAACCAGTAATACATGTCACTAGCTTCCATTTCCCCAGGAGGGATGACTGAAGGAAATACGGGTCTGCTAATAAAGGCTCAAGAAACGTATTCTCCATCCTGTTGCCTTCCTAACATGTCCTGTTTTCTATGAAAAAGTGAAGACCAAAGTGATAAGCCAGTTTTAAAACTGTAAGCGAATGGAATCTTCTCGGGAGTAAAGAGCAGTGTATGTGTTTTTATGGAGGAGATAGTCACGGTTGGAACGCTTCCAGATGCTTATTATTTGGACGTGAAGACTTGGAAGAGCTTGCTGACGTAACATTCCAAGCTGTGGTAACCCCAATTGGCCAAGAAGGTATGCGTTTATTATTATTTTTTAACTAGTGCTGTCAAGTGGCAATTAAGAGGGAAACCGGTGGCAAGGAATCCCTGGGGTCTACAGCCACAAAAACAAGAGTGTAAGACTGGACTTCTGCAAAAGTTACACCTCCTCTCAGATTTCAATTAAAACTCCTGCTCCAAAGTCGTCATTTTAGACAACACTTTATGGTCTCTGCTGGTGGCTTCCTGCTCTGACCACAGAAGGTTCCTTTGTGGTGACAGGAATTGACTCAAAGAAGAAAAAAAAATGTAAGTTTACAAACGCGCCTTCCCTTTTTCCAAGCCTGATTTATCCAGGATATGTGGGGAAGACATCGGAAAGCCCCCGACCTGTTACAAGAATTCATCAACCACTAAAATTAATGAAAACTTGGAAAGGAAAGAAATGGAACTCCCCAAGGTCTTAAAATATAAAACAAAGGAGTGGGGGAGCTACGACAGCACCCGGTCGCTGGTGTCGATCTTCCGCTCGCGGGGCCTTTGAGGACAAGCGCGGCAAGGGGTCCGCGGGGCTCCAAGGTGCTCAGGCGGGCGGGAAGCGCAACCGGAGGAAGCCAAGCCAGGCCCGGTCCCTACAACCCGGACAGCTCGGAAGGGCGGGCTAGGGGTAACAGGTCCTCAGAGAAGCGGGAGAGACGAGGGAAGGCGGGTCCCGGGCAAGCGGGAAGGGAGGGACGGGAGCGGTCGCCCCGCGCCGCACCCGGCCCGGGCCACTCTCCAACAGCCAGATGTTCAGCGTCGGGATCCCGCGGCTGTGCCAGGGCTAGGGCAGCTCAGGGCCCAGCGGGGCTGCAGTCCGGACCCCCCGACTCCTCCACAGCGCCCAGGCCCCGATGGGACACTCACCCGGAGCCACTAGCGGCGAACTCACGGTGCCTCCCACGAAGACGGCGGTGGCCAGGACCGCGGACCCCGAGAGTTCTCCTGGGGCCATCACCGCGTTCCTTCGCCCTCCACCCCCGGGGCGCCGCGTCCCGGGATCCTGCAGGCAGTGCAGCTGCAGAGCCGGCGACGGACCAAGTAGCAGGGCTCGGCCCCCGCGCGCGGTGAACCCCGCCCCGTAAAGGACTCTCCTCTCCGGCCCCACCCACCTGGCTGGCCCCGCCTCTCCCCGCCAAACCCAGGGCTCCGCCTATCCGGGAGCGAGCTCCATCCGTGGCCCCGCCCTCGCCCCCGCCCATCGCAGCCTGGCCCCGCCTCGCCCCGCGGCGCCCGCTTCCTTTCTAAATTCCACCGCAGCCTCCGCCGCTCGGATTAGGCCTAGACTCCGCCCCTCATGTCCCGCCCACCGAGGTCCGACCACGCCTCCCTCCGGCCACCCCGGTCCCGCCCACTTCTGCCTGGTCCCGCCTCTTCTCGCCGCGCCCTCTTCGTTTCCGAGTCGGGTTTCAGCGCGGACGCGGGGATTGCGCGGGAGCCAGGGGAGGGGGCAGGGACTTGGCGGTTCCTCTGCCCTTCGCTGAGAGCAGGCGGGCGGAGGAGGAGGAAGAGGGAGAGCGGGACAGGAAACTCTAGACGGCCTGACTTGACCACCATCGGAGTGGGCACGATCTTAATTCTTTGTTGGCATTTCTCTTCAGCTGGCCTTCCCTTCTGTGGCTGGTCCAGAGAGGGGCGCCCCGCTGTCCGCGAAGTTTCACTGTTTGAAAATTGAGGGGAAAAGGCAAATCATTTAAATTTCTATCTCCGCTTTGCTCTAAGCTGCTCCCTTTGGGGAATAAATCTATGCATACCTGCAGGAACAAATTGCTTTCTTTTTAAAATCGTGTGCTCACGCTGCAATGTGCAAATACTTTAATATGTGGCCCAGAAGCTTGGGCCACTACAGCTCTTTAAGTACCTCGTCACTTACCATCTTCTTACAGTCTCAGGCCAGCTCTGTGAGTTGAGTAGTGTCCCCATTCCACCGGCCTTTGAGTAGACTCACGGGACACTGTCATAAAATGGAAATTAACTCGTCTTCATGGTGTTTGCTCACTGCTGTGCCCTCAGCACGCTGCTCCATGACAGCACACACGGAGAGTCAGAAGTGGCTTTGAAGTTGAATCATCACGTACATTGATTAGAGGAGAGCCTGAGTAGTTCCCTCTTTACTGCACTGGAGAGACCCCTGAAGCCAGGTGGTTAAGGCTTTCAGTAACACTCAAGATGACAGGCATGGCCAGGAGGGTGAGGTCCCCGGCTCTTTCACAGAATGGGACTCTTGCATGGTTTGACTGTCACCTTCCAATTTTCTTTTGAAAAGTCCTCAAACATGGACTCTTAACAAACACTTGCACTGATGTGGGAATCCCCAGGACAGAAGCTTGAGCCACTACAGAGGGCTGGGGCTGAGGGATGGGAGCCCCTACCCTTGAAATCCAAGGCCAGGAACTGTGGGTCCTGGGCACAGTTGTGGACACATCCTGCATTCTGGCAGATGAAGCAGTTTTATCCCACCCTAAAACAGAATGGCTGCAGAGGAAAAAGGTCCATGTGGGTTTCTAACTTAAAAAGGGAGAGAGTCCTAGGCCTAGAAATTAAACTGTAAACTAAATGTAAATTAACTGTAAACTATAAGTTGTAGCCAGAACCAGCTATGATAATATGCAGAGCCTAGTGTCAAATGAAAATGCAGGGCCCTTGGTTCAAAAATTATTAAGAATTTCGAGATGGCAAGAGCAGGACATTGAAGCGATTGTGGAGCCCTGCTAAGCATGGAGCCCTGGGTCCAGGACAAACACCCATAACGCCAGTCAAATTTTAGCACTTAGAATGCAGCAAAATGGGGCGCCTGGGTGGCTCAGTGGGTTAAAGCCTCTGCCTTCGGCTCAGGTCATGATCCCAGGGTCCTGGGATGGAGCTCTGCATCGGGCTCTCTGCTCAGCGGGGAGCCTGCTTCCTCCTCTCTCTCTGCCTGCCTCTCTGCCTACTTGTGATCTGTCAAATAAATAATAAATCTTAAAAAAAAAAAAGAATGCAGCAAAATGTTTGAAACAGGATATCTATGCAAAATGTAAAATATTGTTTGAAAAACAAATAATGTTTCACAGATTGAACTTACTAGTAAAAAGACAGGATCTTTTTTTTTTTTTTTTTTTATAAACTCTACACCCAATGTGGGACTGAAACCCACAACCTTAAAATCGAGAGTTGCACACTCCACCAGCACCGCCAAGACAGGGTCATTTTAAACAACACATTTGAATTGGATGTTTGCTCATGGCTCTCCAGAAATAAAAATATAACCCTGTAATTAAAGCTGGATGAAATCTCAGTAACCACCTCTCAAGCCCCTTACTTTAGAGATGAGAGACAGTTAAGTGACTTGCCAGATATCTCATACATAGTATGAACCAGGGTTGGAATCCAAGGCTCTGAAATTTCCCTTCTCAGACTTTTTTGTAACACCTAACTGCTTGACACGGTCTCTGTAGATACCTTCCCCGTCACAGAACCCCATATATGCACATTTGCACATTCCAGTTACAGGGAGGAGGGAGGGAGGGAGGGAGGGAGGGAGGGAGGGATTAAGAGAAGGAGGAAAGAAGGAAAGCAAATCAAGCTTCAGTTATTCTCCAGGTATTTTCCAGTATAGATTTGCTTGCACAATTTAAAAAGCCATTGTTTGGGACGCCTGGGTGGCTCAGCGGGTTAAGCCTCTGCCTTCAGCTCGGGTCATGATCTCAGGGTCCTGGGATAGAGCCTGGCATTGGGCTCTCTTCTTGGCAGGGAGCCTGCTTCCCCCTCTCTCTCTGCCTGCTGCTCTGCCTACTTGTGATCTCTATCTGTCAAATAGATAAATAAAATCTTTAAAAAAATAAAAAGCCGTGGTTTATTTCAGTTTAAATGTGAAGACTTCAATGTGATGGCAGTTCTCTTTCACATTAGGAAGCAGATGTCACATTTCTTCTGAGGAAATAAAAATCGACACCATGGACTAAGTGATCTTCCTTTTTTTTTTCTGAAATAAAATTAAAAGATTAAAAAGTAGAAATAGCTGTTAACGCTAGCTCTCATTTATTCATCCCTTGGATTTTAGCCCCATCTCTCGGGAAGCACTTTTCCTGTGTTCCTACATCAAATCCTCACAACCTGATATTTTTGGAGGTATTGTTACTGCCCTTCTCTTCAAAGCTGAGAAGACGAAGATGTGAGGAATTAAGGAATTTACCCAGTCACACAGCTGCTCCATGCTGTTGCTGGGACTCAAATCCAAGATCAGCTTGCTACAGGCCTGCACTTGAACTTCTGCACTTGAACTTATACTGCTCTGCCTCCAAAATGCAAAATACTAGCCAATCAGCTCTCCTTTTCCAATATGAAGTCTTATTCTGTCTTTGCATGCTTAACCTAGCCTTTTTGAACTCTGGATCAACAATTACATGTATTTTTTCTTCAGGAGAATGTTTATGGGGATAGGTTATAAATAAGAGGTTGGAGGAATCAAATGTACAAACTTAGGCAACGGGCTGTCCTTTCTGTTTTTTGTTGGTTTTCGTTTTGTTTTGTTGTTTCCAGTGTCTCTGTAAGAATTCAGTTAATCATTCCCCTTAGTAGAAACCTTTCCTGTTTTCCTCGGTGCCGCTAAGGTGGTGATTTTCATTACCGTCATTTAAATGCGTTGGTTGGTATTTATTTTAATTAGGGTTGAAGAAACTTCCGCAGAAAGTCTCTGTGGAATTTCTTCTTTCTGTGATTTAGATGTAGTCATGTTTCCTTTTGAGAGGTTATATCTAGGAGAAAGGCTGTTAATTTTTTAAATATATCTATTTGTTTGCAGGGGGAAAAATGATATTTTATAAAGTCTAGGGTTATTCTGATCTGATAACAAGTATATACCATATTCCTAGTACTGGGCTGAGGGTAGGAGGTTGGAGGGGAAAGTCACTGAACACTTAGTAAAAGCTCCTAACCTTGCTTCAAGAAACTCTTCAGCCCACCTAGAAAGAAGGAAACAATTGTAGAATGGAAGTAGAATGGAAATGGTCAAAGCCCCAGGGGTGGGGTGGGTGGAGGGGATGTCCTGCCAGTGACTTGCTCTGTGACTTTCAGCAGCTTCTCTTTGGTCAGTCTTCTTACCCATAAATTTCAGGTGGGTAATAGAATAGTTTCTGAAAGTTGCCATCCAACCCTACAATTCTGCACCATAAAAAGAAACCAGCTGATAGGGTGAAAGGTGCCAGAGTCAGGCTAGAATGAAGGGTTTCTCAAAATTATCAAAGTATTGGGGAACCTGGGTGGCTCAGTGGGTTAAAGCCTCTGCCTTCAGCTCAGGTCATGATCCCAGGGTCCTGGGATCGAGCCCCGCGTCCTGGGATTGAGCCCCGCGTCGGGCTCTCTGCTCAGCGGGGAGCCTGCTTCCTCCTCTCTCTGCCTGCCTCTCTGCCTACTTGTGATCTGTGTCTGTCAAATAAATAAAATCTTTTTTTAAAAATTATCAAATATTATGGACCAGATAATTCTGTGTTGGGTGTCTGTTTTGCACACTCTAGAGTGTAGAGCAACATTCTCTGCTTCTACAAACTAAATGCCAGTAGCACTCTTTCCACCACCTCCCATCCCCCCACCCCATCCCTGAAATTATGACAACCAAAACTATCTCCAAATTTACCAAATGTTCTCTGGGAGATAAAATCACCCCCGTTCACAACCACTGGGCTAGAAGATTTCCAAGAAGACCAAAAGGATTCGAAATGGAGGCTCCGAGCAAGTCCCCGTGGAGAAGGTACAAGAACGTCCCAAGACTTCATGGAGACGTGAGGGGAGTGCGTGAGCAAATGCACAGTGAGAGAATTTGCATAGTGTCGCCTGCACAGTGATGAGTATGCGTGAGGGAAAGAGGCAGAGGATGGGTTGGCAATAACCGTGGGTCACAGCTGATCCTAATAGTCAAGAAGAGGAGAACTGAATAAATAAAATCTTAAAAAAAAAAAAAAAGAGGAGAACTGAGAACTTCAAATGCCCAGGAATCATCATAAATTATAATAAATTATTCTATCACCAAAATAATTTTTTTTTAGGGACGGTGAGAAGAATTTCCATTGTTCAATGAGATTGTCCTCATCTTAAAGTAGGAGCTGCAAATACAGAAGTCCTAATTTTGCCCCTGTGCTCGGTGGATGTCGGAGGAATCTGACTGTTAGGTTAGCAAGGGTGTCCATAATCTATACTTCCGTTCTGGACCACCACGTTGTGTCTTGTATTGTGGGCACACGTTCTTCTGAACATGGTGTGTAAGGGACTCGGGTCCTTCACTGGTACAGCCTCCGCACCAGGTGGATAGACATGGACACGGTGACTCTCTGTAAACAGCAAGAGAGAATTACAGTGACGAACCTTGTGGTTTGGGCCCAGCAAAACCCACAACACACGTTTCTGAGGACACA